CCCAGGGTCACACAGCTAGTAAGTGTCTGAGGCCTGATTTGAACTCAGGCCTTCCTGACTCCAGACCTGGCACTCTTATCCACTGCACTACCTAGCTGACCTTCTTCTTGTGGTTAGAGATTGTTTTGTTTTGTTTTTTCTCTGTAATCCCAGCCTTTAGCACGGTATATCTGACACAACTAGTATTTACTGCGCCGACTCCAAATTAACTGCACTTTCCTCACCTTTAAAATGAGGGGGCTGAATCAGATGATCTCTAAGGACAATTCTAGCTACAAAATTCTGTGATTATAGAACCTCTTTCTCACAGCTCCTCACCCGTTCATCCCCTCTGGTTGACTCATTGTCCAGCAGGGGCTCCCCGGGGGCCTGTATCGTCACTGATTTATCTCCTCGGCCTCCATCCCTGCTCTTGGAGCGATGTCTGTCCCTCCGGTCCCTGTGGTAAAAAGGGAAGGGAGCAGACACAAAAAGTCAGAGAGGAGAAAATAAATGTCCCATTCAGGCCCACCCTCCCCTCACCTGCCCTCTCATTCTGACAGGCTGCCTCATCTCCTGCCCCCTCCCCAACTTCAAACAGAGGCCCCTCTCTCTCCCCTGCTCTCCCATCAGTACCCATCACACCCACCTATGCTTCCTGGAGCTTCGGGAGTGGCCGGACTTGTAGGAGTAACCGGAGTACTGGGACTCAGTGTCCATGGCCTCAGAGCGCCTTGCCTTGTAGCGCTCCAGGGCCGTGGGCTGGGGCCTCTTTGGGGGCCCCAAGACCACTTCCTTCAGCTCTGGCTTCTTCAGGCCAAGAGGCACCTTCAGGAAGTCAACTGTCACCCTGAGGGACTCTATTTTGCTGGGCGGGTGGGCTCGTCTCAGAGAAAACTAAGCGGCACTCCTGACAGAAAGAGAATGGGGTTAGACATGGCAAGGGTACATCATCCAGGAGCTCAGGATAAACAGATGGAGAATGGGAGACAGGCAATCAGGTCTCAAAGCTTCTGACCCCAACCCCAGTTTCTATCCCTCCCCTCAGGGAGCTCAGAGAAGTCAGAGACTACTCAGGTCTTAGTTTCACAGCCACCCTAATCTGTAAAATGGGTATAAGGATGCCCAACCCTTTCCTCCTAGAGAGATATAAGGAAATAAGAATGACCCTAGATCAGATAGAGCTGATATTCAAAGCTGAACCCCTTTAAACCTTTAAGAAGGCTTTCCAAGTCCTTCCCACGGTTCGCATCTTTTTTCTAAGATTACCCCCCATTTACTCCATCTATATCTCATATGTTCACATGTTGCTTACATTTGTTTCCCCCATTAGAACCCTGAGCTCCTTGAAGACAATGACAATGTTTTTGCCTTTCTTTGTTTCTCCAGAGCTTAACACAATACTTAGAACATAGTAAGCCTTTAAAAAATGCTTGTTGACTGACTCATTGATTCTCCCACTGAAACAGAACAGCACAACAGATTATGTGGGGAATGGAGCCCTTCCACCTTCAATATCACTTCTAACCTGTGAAGGATTAAGATTCATGGAGAATCTCCCAACCTAGGTGTAGACAAAACCCAGCTCCAAAATCACATGACCAAATGCTTGCTGGTCATTTCCACCTAGATGTCCCACAAGCACCTCAAACTCAACAAGTCCAAAACAAATCTTGTACTATTTCCAACTAAGCCCATCCTCCTAACTTCCCTCCCCATTCCTGTTGAGACACCATTATGTTTTCAGTCTGGGGTTCATAACCTCAGTATCCTCCCCAACTCTTCACTCTTTTTCACCCATTCCCCACCACACACACCCCCAATCCAGTAGTCTTGTCAATTCTACCTCACATCTCTATCAGGGAGCTCTGGAGGATCACTTAATAGTGTAATACTGAGCAAGTCACAACTCTCAACCTCCAGAGTTTTCCTCCCCAATGTAAAATGAAGGGGTTAGACTAAACGATTGTTAAGGTCCCTTCCAGCTCTAAATCTATGATGCTATGGTTTTTTTTTTTCCATCAGTGACTCCACTCCCCTTCTCTCTCACTTTACCCTGCCCCTCAAGGAAAAAGCCAGAACAACTTTCTGACAAGGCTGTTAAAGCTTCAGGTACGCCAGATGGGAAAAGTTCTCAAGGCACCAAGGGCTGGATGGAGCACAGGGGCCAGGAGAGTCTGCCCAAGAGGATCAAGCCCTATCTGGAGGATCCCAGTACTGGGTGTCAGGTCAATGTTGCCCATTTACGAATGACCCAGAAAGGGCTGAATTCCCAGGAGATAATGACCCGTGTTAATGACTCCACCACTCCTGTGAAGATCTGGGAGGATTACAGAATTAATGGAAACTCAGAGGCCATCCGGTTCAATCCATACATGAAAGGAGGAATACCCTCAACATCTCCACCACTGGCATTCAGACAGCCTCCATTTGAAAGACTGGCAAAACCACCAATTCCCCATTTCACTTTCCGACCACTTAATTGT